CCCAAAGCAATTTATAGATTCAATGCAATATCTATTAAAGTGCCAATGGCATATTTCACAGACATAGAACAAACACTTCAAAAATTTATATGGAACCATAAACGACCCCAAATCGCTGCTGCAATTCTGAGAAAGAAGAGCAAAGTAGAAGAGATTATAATACCTGATACCAAACTGTATTACAAGGCCACTGTAATCAAAACAGCCTGGTACTGGCATAAATACAGGCACATGGACCAATGGAACAGAACAGAGAGCCCCAAAATAAACCCACATCTCTACAGTCCATTAATATTCGGCAAAGAGGCAGCAACATAAAATGGAGTAAAAATAGCCTCTTCAACAAATGGTGCTGGAAGAACTGGACAGCTATGGACAGCTACATGTAAAAAAATGAAACTTGAGTACCAACTTACACCATACACAAAAATAAATTCAAGGTAGAGAAATGATTTAAATATAAACCATGACACCATTAAAGTGCTAGAGGAGAACACAGGCAGGAAAAGCTCAGATATTTGATGCAGCAACATTTTTACTGTTATGTCCCCTAGAGCAAAGGACATAAAGGAAAGAATAAACAAATGGGACCTCATCAAAATAAAAAGCTTCTGCACAGCTAAAGAAAACAGTATTAAAATAAAAAGAGAACCAACTGTATGGAAAAATATATTTGCCAATGATCCCTCAGACAAGGGTTGAATCTCCAAAATATATAAAGAATTTACATGACTCCACTCTAAGAAGACAAGCAAAGCAATCAAAAAGTGAGCAAAGGACTTGGACAGACACTTCTCCAAAGAGGACATACAGAGGATCCAGAGACACATGAAAAGATGCTCAATATCGCTAGCTAGCAGAGAGATGCAAATGAAAACCACAATGAGGTACCACTTCACACCAGTCAGAATGGCCATCATAAACAAAGCAGCAAACAAGTGTTGGAGAGGTGGAGAAAAGGGGACCGTACTGCACTGTTGGTGGGAGTGCAGACTGGTACAACCACTGTGGAAAACAGTATGGAATTTTCTCAAAAAACTAAAAATGAATCTGCCTTTTGACTCAGTAATTCTACTGCTAGGATTATATCTTAAGAACCCTGAAAGAACCGATGAATCCAAATCCCTTTAAGAATCCAAAAGAACCTATGTACCCCAATGTTCATAGCAGCACAATTTACAATACCCAAGTGCTGGAAGCAACCTAGGTGCCCATCAGTAAATGAATGGATCAAAAAACTATGGTATATTTACCCAATGGAATTCTATGCAGCAGAGAGAAAGAAGGAGCTCCTACCCTTTGTGACAGCATGGATGGAACTGGAAAGCATTATGCTAAGTGAAATAAGCCAGGTGGTGAGAGACAAACACCATAGTATCTCACCTTTAACAGGAACATAAACAACAAATGAACAAACAAACAAGCAAAATATAACCAAAGACACTGAAATAGAGAACAGGCTGACAGTGACCAGAGGGGAGAGGGTAGGGAATTTCAGGGGAAAAGGAGAAGGGTTTACAGGAGCAAGTATAAAGTACACATGGATAAAAACTGGCTGGGAGGGGGGGCGGAGTTGGGGTGGAAATGGGAAGGAGGTAGGGAGGGCTGGGGGGTGTGGGCTGGGATGGGAGTAAAAGACATAAAACTACTTGAACAATAATTAAAATTAAAGAAAAAGATTTCTTAAAATTTGTGTTCTCTAAAGTAATTATGATTGTAAATGACAATCTGAAGTCTATTTTATGAAAAGAGTAGAAGAAGAATATGAATCTTTTGATATGGAAAAGTTTGAGAAAAGACAGAAATTAACAGAAGGCAAAGTATTCTTTCACTATAAAAGAACTTAGAAAATAGTGAAAATTACAACTAGACAAGTTCTTGAAATGAGTTACCATAGAGAATTATATATATTTGGGTTTACTAAATCAATGCTAAAAAACAGAGTAACTCTTTAGCTTTCATAGAAAAATAACTTTGGTTAAAGCTAGACCACTAGTCTATAGATTAAAATTAGTTACCTACTACATAATGAGGTCTTTATGGACTGGATGATTTATGGCTTAAACTTGATCAGTTTTAAGCCATAACAAATATATAACAAACTAAACAAATACTGAGTACTGGGCTGGGGACCACGGGATACAAAGATGAGTAAAACATGGTTCCTGGCCTGACAGCATTTACAGTGTAGATGGGACTCAGGCACATAAGCAGAATGATAGAATAACTATTAAAGAACTTATTAGTATTTCTCTGATACTGCCCAAGTGATACAATTAAAAAAAATTAGAGCATGGGAAGTATAGGGTGCTTTGCAAGAGGACATGCCATTCAATCTGGATTTTTCTGGCATTCAGGCTGAGGGAATAGCTGCACAAGAACATAGAAAAACGAAATGTAAATGAGGAGAGTGGTAAGCAGATTCCTCATGTCTGGTAGCAATGTACAGTATGGGGAGAGTCAGAGATTTTAATGAGCTCATCTTGGGTCTAGAAAGCTTTTACTTAATTTTGAAGGTTCTGGGAAAGATTAAAAAAAAGTAACAACAAAAGACTTTTGTTTTAGGAAGATAATTCAGGCTACAGTTTAAAAAATAAACTGGAAAAGTATAAAAATAAAAGCAGAGACTGATGAGGTGACTACTGATTAGTTTATACAAACACAGTTAGGTCCTCAAATAGGTTGACTAGAGAGAAAGTAAAGGAGAGAACCTAAAAAAGATACAAAATAGACAGCATTCAAAAATTGACATACTGGCTAAGTATAATGGTATTATAAATAAAAATAAGAAATAAAGAAGGTTTGAGATTAGCTAAACTTAATTTTTACTGCAACATGGTAAATAGTCAAAATACAAATATAAGCTTTATCCAACTTATGTACTACTTGGCAACAATAAATGAAATACATTTAATGTCCATGTGTTCATGTTACTGTTCATTTTTTTAAAAAGGCCAACATTTATTACTTGAAAAGCATGCCTAGAAATAAATACATTAAACTCAATATACCTCTGAAAGCAGGAGGAGTCCTTTAGAAAATCAAAGTTTCTACTACTTAAAAAGTTGTTAATAAAAAGCTATTACAGGTGAGTAACTAGTTCCACTACATGAAAACAGCATGTGAATGCTTCTTTATTTTTACCCAGTCATTTTCCAACTCACTTTAAAGCTAAACTTGTTCAGATTACTCAGTTTCTGAATTACAACTTGATGAAAAGAGAGAAATGATAATACTCCTTAGAGGTTCTATTGCTGTTACCATTCAGCATAATATAATTTATATGCTACACAAGAAGCTTTGTGGCACTGCAATCCAGTATTCCCTAATCTCCTATGGATACATGACATAAATAAAGAGAACAATTAATAGAAGCCTTTATGGTATTCTTTTAATCTTCTGAAGTTTCATATTTCATCTATAATATATTCCAGAAAAGTATGGAGAATATCAACCTTGAATGTTGTAAAATAGTTCCTGTTGAACTGTATTGTAACAAAAGCCAGCATTCCTGCAGTGCTAACTAGCAGTACCTTTGTTGATTTTGAGTGTATTAAGACTCCCTCAGTTAACCTAAGACTTTTATGTAGGAAAGAAAGTCATCAAGATGAAAATGTGGAGAAAAACTGATAATCATTTTAGACAAATTTTAACCATATTTCAAAATAACTGTTTTAAATAGAAGAAAAGGTACTGATTAAATACAAATTTAAGACAATTTTTAAGTACAAGACAAATATTAATTCAGTTATCCTAAGTATTTTTGTTCATTATCTCAATAATCACTACTAAGAGAGATTATTTAAAACAAAACATGGCTTGCTTCTTTGAAGATTTCAATGACAAATATATCTAATTAAAGGCAATGCAAAAAAAGAATCTGTATCATTAGGCACTTACAGCATCCTATAACTAGCTAAATCCAAATTAGTCCAGTCATTTTACAACATTGTTGTTCAAACAAATCAGTCTATTCTCAGGCAACTGCTTTATGTAGGTTCTGACTCATTACAGAGTAGGGCAAACATTGGTTTACAGTTGTGAGTACGTGAAACACAGAGTTTATTCTTGTATAATTATTTATTAATTATTATATTATTTGCCATTTGAACAACTGTAAACTTACTTTTGCTCCACCCTGTACATATATCAAATAAGGATTGTAGAAAAGAAGTATCAGCTATTCCCAGTATAAATGGAGTGATCTACAAGATTCCTGAAGATAAACTGATATTACAATGCTCTTATAAATGGGATAAGGACATAAGAACACAAATCACTAACATTTTCTCTGGTAAGTGATTTGAAAAAGAAATCACTCTGAAGCAAAAGCAAAACATGTGTTCAGGTTAGGTGTTACATCAATTTAGAGCTTGTTAACTCCTTTTTCCAAAAATATTTTTCAAGTAAAGGCAGTAACACAGATTAATAGCAAAGACTGAGAGATGGAAAAAATATCTGCTCTACAACAGGGAAAAGACAGCAAGCATAGTTGGTTCACATGGCTAAAATGATTATATATGGGAGAAAGGAGTTTCTTATCAATCAGTTTTAGAGGTCTGCCTCCTTGACCTAAACAAGGTTGGTGGCAGAAAAACATCTCAAGCTGGTCATGATGTAGGGCAGAGCAAGAACCTTTAAAGAAAAAGAACAAAACTGTCTGGTGACAGCTTGTCAAGACCATACTCTGGGAACTTCATTCACTGTCAATCTACAATCTATGTCTGAACCAAGAGACCTGGTGTTGTCCAAATCTTGGGATTTTCTGTCAAAGGCTTTTTTAAAAAGTGGCTCATGTAAGAAATAGAGACTGTACATTGGCAAGTAACAATATTACCACAGCTGTCAAGATGATCTGTTTGGTGTTTTTCTCCCTTCTGCTATCATGCTTCTTTGTATTAAATTAGCTTAGGAAATAATTAAACAGCTTTGGAATTCCCTTTACTATCATAAACTTGATAAAAGTCCCAAACATACACACGCTGCTGAGATTCACCTACCTGTAGCATGCCTTGACCATTTCCTTCTATGGTACCTTCATAAGTGACATGCAATCGAGTCAGGAATTTTTCACACCTACAATTTTTAAAAAATACTCTTATTTATTTTTTAATGACAGATATTTCACTGCAAAAAAAAAATGAAAGTATAAAAGCTATAAAAAATTGAAACCACTCCAAATCTCAAAAGCAGGAAACAGATGCCTACTGTGGACATTCTTGGTATAGAGTCTCCCAAAACATTTTCTAATTCAAATATATAAATATACTTTGAAAAGTATTTATTTATTTATTTATTTATTTATTTATTTTTAGAGAGGGGAAGGGAAGGAGAGAAACACTGATGTCAAGGACAAACATCAATCGGTTGCCTTTCACACATGCCCCAACTGGGGACCGAACCCATAACCCAGGCATGTGCCCTGACCGGGATTCCACCCAGCAATCTTTTGCTTTGCAGGATGATGCCCAACCAATTGAGCCATACCAGTCAGGGCTAAATATACATTTTTAAATTAAAATGAGATAATAGACTGTTTCCCCTACAAAATATGAAAGTTTCTCTTAAGAGTTGAACACTTCTCAATATTTTTTAAATTAAGATCTATAAAATTTTATTATTACCTTGGCATTGACAACCTAAGAAAAAATATAGAAAAATCTGGTAATAAATCATACATGATTCTCACATGGGCTCTATTTTCACTAGTTCGATAACTGTGTGTGTGGAAGAGGGGATGTCTTAATGAAAACACATACCACAGAAATTCTGACCTGTAATATTTTTATATTAATAAAATTGACAGATGAATTTGGCACCTGTTAGTAACAATTATTTTCTTTGAAAATTATTTTCTATTTTCTGCAGTTTTTCATAAACCATGGTCACTAAAGTGTTTATGAAATTCAGGACACGTTGCCCTTTGGCATATTCAATATTTTAAGCTGAAGAGGTTTGAGAAAACTGCAGAAGCAAGGTTACCCAAACCTCCCTTCTTCCCTGAAACAGGCCATAAAACTCTCAAGTGAGAGATACCTTCCTTATGCTCAGATAAAAGGAGTATTCTTATCCTCAAAGACAAAGGGATCCCAAGAAGAATCCTAACAAATACGAAAAGGCCATGCTGTCTCCCCCAGTTTACTATAATTACCTCACATTCCTTAACCCATTCACGACTGTCTATTCTTCATCAAACCTAGCCTAAAAGTACAGACATCCATTTCTTTGGGCTTTATTTCCATATGAAGTCTCCCACGTCATATAAAACTTACATAAAATAAATTTGTATGCGTTTCTCCTGTTAATCTTTCTTGGTTAGTTTAACTTTCAGACTCAGACAGAGGCCTTAAGAGGTTCAGGAAAAACTTTTTCTTCCTCACAGTGTTTATGTAGCTTACATTTTATTAAAAAACTAATTGCATTTTACTAGTAGCATTTGTTTATGACATTTTTTCCTTAGGGGATTCCTCCCCAACCCCAATTATTGAAAAAGAAATAAAGTAAAATTATAAAAGATGCAGTCCAAACTCCCTAAATTATATAAGGAAGAGGGATTATATATTTTTAGAAACAGTTTAGCTAAGGAAGTGATAGAGATATGATCAGATCACTTGGTAGACTAAGGAGGCACTGTAAGAGGAGGTTGTCCAGGGCAATGAATGGTAAACAGTCTAGGATAGGATTGGTTGATAAACTGAATGCCTCCAAGGCACAGGGAATTACAGTCAGAATATTTAAAATAAAGAGAGCAGAGACTGGCTCTTGGGCTCTTCTTCCTTCAGGGTTCCTGGATGATCGTGCTGCAGCTGCCTGTGTTTCCCAAAGAACGGTATTTTGGATGGTAAAGAACTCCAGGCACAGCTTAAGATTGGGCTGGCCTGGCAGAGGGTGGCAGTGTTATTCTTCTTTGGGTGTTCTAGAGGGGTTAAGCTCTGAAGCAGAAGCCTGCCATTCTTCCAAAATTGTGTTGCTTTGGTATCTTATGTTATTTAATTTGTAAACTAATCTTACAGAACTAAGATCATTAAAAACTAACAGGGAAAATGATAGAGGAACTCAAGAGTTAAAGATTTTAGCCTTAATTGATATGCTAAATGCATGACTAATGCATGTGGACATCCTGTTATTCCAAAATTGTGTAGCTTTTGAATAAAGACTCCTTTCCTTTATCACCAAACCTCTGCTGCCAAATTTTGCCTAAAGAGTAGCAGTGGGCAGCAGGACCCCACTTGCTATTCGGTAACAGAAGCACTATTTACTTACTGTTTTTGCTTTTTTCCTGGTTGCAATTGAGTCCAAATACATTTCAGGCTAAGCTCAGTCCAACAGAACTGAAAGCCTTAAACTCAGAAGGTAATTCAGCATAGGTACTCTTGTAAGAGTTTAATCTGTATTAACTCATTTAATCCTCACAATAACCTTGTCACTAACTTCTTTTACAGATGGGTAAACAAAGTTCAGAAAGCAGATAAGTAACCTGCCTAAGGCTAGTAAATGAGGCAATAAAGATTTAAACCCAGGTGACCTAAGCCAATGGTCCAAGCTCTTAACCATTATGCTACACTTTTCAAAAAATTACTTTGCAAACCTCTCATAGAAAATAGTACCACAAGTTTGATTTGTTAAAGTTCTTTTTTGGGGTACAGGGTCCCACTTTCCTAGTCATTTATTCCAAGGAAGACCTGTGAGGATATTACTGAAAAGATTAAAAAGCATAATCCAGAAATCTCTGGTTTGTCAGTCAGGACTTCAAAACAGAAATCTCAACTGTTGTCAACGATTCTCCATAACTAAAGTTGTCAACTTAGAGTATATTTCTCAATAAAATTATGAAATTGCTAGAAACTGGTATTTGTTTTAAGCATCTTCCAACTCCCTGATAGGTATCCCCTTCTGGCCTCTGTAAATCCCCATTCCATTGTCCCAGGAATCAAAAACGTAGCCTATTATGGCTCTCAGTGAATAATTAAGCCTGGCTAACGTATGTACTGATAATCACAGGGTTAACTACATCAAGTCAGAAACTTATAAATCAGGAAAGCCTCTAACTTCCTGGTACCCATGTAGCCCCTTACTCTTAGAAACACCAACAATCCTCATCTCTTCTTCATCCTTCCTCTTTAATTGAGTGCATGTTTCTGGTTCTGTGTTGTCTGGGAGATGGATATTAATTATACTCTCCAACTCACTTATGAAACAGCTAAAACAAAACAGAGACCAAAGAAATTTTTTCAAAGTTAGAAAGGATACCAAGTTAAATTCTATCTATCAAAGTCAAGGGGAGTATCTAGATCTTACTCAGGGTCAGTTATCTCACCGATACAACAGCCTTGCAGATCACTGCGTTTTGACTTATCCCTTTACTCCCAGATGGTAATGTGGCATTTTCACATTAGTGCCAAATGAATGTCAAATACAGAGCAGAAATACTGAGCTGAATTAAAAAACAAGACCACTGAATGACCTATAAAATCTACAACAAAATGATGTGAAAAAAAAATCTGTATTCCTATTAGAGACTAATTGAAGAACTAAGAAAACAATCTGGTCTGGAGCGATAACATAGCAGATTGTTACTTTTAGTTCTAGGAACCATATTTTAAGAGGGACCAATGGTCTGGAGTATGTAAACAGCAGAGATAAAGCATTTAGGATTCATATTGTATGTGAAATAGAAGAATGAGTAGGTTTTGTATGTTGCTTGTGTGCACTGTTAGAGGTAGGATGAGTCAAGAAAGCATTAAGATACATGAAGAAAGGCTAAATGTCAAAGAAAATTAAATGTATTTATTGTAGGTCTAGAAGGAAGAACCAGGAGTGGAGGGGAGCATTACTGGAAAGAGACTTTTTAAAAATTAACTTTTAGAAAGAGAGAGAGAAACAGTGATCTGTTGTTCCACTTATTTATGCCTTTGCTGTCTGATTCTTGCATGTGCCCTGACCGGGAATTAAACCTGCAACCTTGGCATATGGGAACAACATTCTAACTAACTGAGCTACCCAGCCAGGTAGAAAGACAGACTTTTTAAGTGAATGAAAGTATTAGAAAATAAATAACACAAGCAGCCAACTGAAGTGCAATAATGAATTTGCCACCATCGAACTGCCTAGTCTCCATCTCTCACTGGTGTTAAAGAACTGATAATATTTTTAGTAGGTAGCTAGACCAGATGACTTCCGTGGGTCCCCTTCATCTCTAACCTGCCATGACTCCAAAATGTTGCACCTGCTCTCTTCCTTTCACATGTTGCACATGTCATCTTCCAATTACACAATTGGCTCAATTGTGTTATTTTTTTCTTTAGGTGTTTAGTCTTTTACCACCTCAGTCAGTAAGCCTCCTAAAGTAAGTTTGTTTTTCTTTCCCCTCACAAACGTACATTTTGATGAATGAAAACACCATGGGAAAGCCACATAGGCAGATGTGCCTCCTTAAGTTAACTCCCTTAAGAGTGAGTCTCTTTCATCACTAATTCCAAAAAGAACAATTACAAATTAGAGTAAAAATTAGACAGTGAAAATGAGATGCACTGGTTAACATGAATGCACACCCAAAATATGCATTTAGCATGTCTAATCATGTCTTTACATGCATTGAAAAAGTTGATCCATTCTTATTTAAGAGCTTTGGGGATTTGCACTAGGTTAGGAAATGTGTTAACTATTCCAGGACACTAAAAAATTTACAAATCTGATGAACTCAGATTGGTTATTGTTCTCCTTAGTATTTGCAGATAAATAATAAGAACAAAACACAGTAAATTAGCAACATCCACAAAATCTGCCAACAGTACACATGGACAGCAAAACCTCAAAATTCTTATCCATCGGACGAAATTCTAGGTAATTACTGTTTACATTTTAGTTTAATAAAAGAACTTTTCCCAATCTTGGTCCCCAGGTAAAGATGTCTTAAAATACAAACACTAACCAAAAAAGGAAGACAAGAAGGAATATTGAATATTGCTATTCCATTTAATTAATGTCTTCACACACAAAATTCCTTAATTCTAAATAAGACTTTCAGAAGACAAAACTAAGACAAAAGAGTAGAAAAAGTCAAAGTGTTGCAGACTTTGATTCAAAAGGTATAACCTTTTTAACAATGACAGCTATCAATAGATCACTTATGAGAATAAACTTCCTATCATAAAGGCTTTTTAAGAGGTCGGGAAAACATCTTTCCAGGGACTGTAAAATAAAATCCTCTCATGGTAAAAAGATTCCTTCTAATTCTAAGATTCCAGGATTATTTTTATCATTATTACCTTTCCCATTCTGGAAAATCTTCAAGACTCTGTCTTGTAAATGTCACCAACCCCGTAGGTTCTACAAAAGCAATAAAAGAAAAAAACACTCAAAATAAGTTTAGATTTTGAAAGATTATACATATATGCAGTAAAGGAATGGGTCTAACAATAGCTATAAAACAATCAGGAAGTGCCAAGCTTAGTATTGGAATACAACAGAAGATTGATTTAAAATAATTTCCATATAGTAGAACTCTTTCTATAAAATAGTTAAGTCCTCACTAAAACAAAAAATTACACAAACAACAGTACAACAGTAGGAGACCTTGAGCACTGGTACTTTTTAGTGACATTTTCTAATCTGCAAACATTTAAAAAAAATAATTGGGGGAAAAAGATGCATAATGAGTGTAGCTTACACAATAAAGACAGAATGGAATTTTAACCTATAGATTCCTCCCAAAAAAAACTGTAACCCGACCTAAAAACTGGTGAATGTATACACATTTATGTGTGTTATAATGAAATAAAATGTCTAGAATTAAAAAGAGAAAATTGTTGGCATGCCGTTGGAGTTAACACAGCCAAATCCAAGGCTTAGACAATATGCAATTGTTCTATTTATAAGGTGCCTTAGCCAGAAGGAGAGATTACTGTACTCTAAATGGTTAGAGAAGAAAGATAACATAGTTCTTAAGTAGCAATAGATGTAAGAATATCAAACAGTAAATTTTAGAGGATAAGATCCCTTTTTGTTAGGTTTATTTTTTAACTAGAAGCAAAAGCAACAAATAAATCAGCTGGCCAAAAGTAATTTGCTTGATTCAAATCAAAGGATAAACTAAAAAGGCCAGGCCATTTTGTTTCTTTTTTCTTTCTTTCTTCTTTTTTTTTAAAGCTCTTAAGCAAAGAGAAATATGTCAGGAACTATTAGTGATAATGATGGAGAGTCCCAATAAAAGCTTAGCAACATTTCATTCCTTTGGATGATTCTACATTTGTTTGCTTTCAGTCACAGGCAGCAGTAACTCAAAGTTCGTACAGAATATTTACACTAAAAGACAGTATTTTGTTAACATGGGTTATAAAATATTCTTTAGATATCTAACTTTCTTTAAGACAAATAGACAACATATTTAAAATTCACAACTAAGAAGTCAAACAGTTCAAACACTAGAGAAATAATTCTATTAATAGGAAACTAATGTTAGTATCATCATTCAGTAACTTAGCAGAGAAGAATATAAATATCCTTCATATACACTAGGAGAGATCAAAAGAAATTCATAAATGAATACTGCTGGCAAAGCAAAAGAAAAGATAAACATGGTTCTTCAGATATAATTAATAACAAAAATACCATGAGAGTGTGCCTATTACCTTTCTTCTATAATTACATACCTTTCATGCCAGATTAGGTTATTTTGGTTAATTACATATCTTCATTAATAAATCAAAATGTATACTGCATATGAATCATTAATTTTAAAACACTCCATCTATAAGATATTTTATTTAAAACTACATTGAAAATCACTTAATTTAGAAAGTTTTAAAATCTTTCAGTCTCAATGTTTGACAACACTCAAAAGTTGGTCCTGATGGAATTATAGTTTATCAATTCTAAAAAGCACACTTTTTCATGTATTAAATGTCTGAAAATGGAAGATATACATGATTTGACTACAAGGACAGAAAAGTAAACTCTGAATTACTTAGGTATAATAATGAAATTCATTCAATTTAGTGTAGCAAAAAATATACTTATTTTTCTAACAAATTATTACAATTCTTATTTGGTTTTATGTATCATAAGCCTGAATGTGCCTTCATTTTCCTTAATATTTCATTAAGCACAAAGCACAAAACTAAAAATTGATAAGCTAAGTAATAACCCTTTATCAAAGAAACATGTAATTTTTTGCTTAAATTCCCAAATCCTAACAATTGATTTCTTTAAAAAAGTCTGAACCATGTCCAATAGCAATACATTCCAAGGATAAAAATGTGAAGTAAGTATATTGTGATGTGGGATTACTTACTAAAGGAAAGATGAGCAAGAGAAAGAAAAAAAGGACCTTAAAATGATTCGATGATGTGTTTTAAGATAATCCCACAACCTGGATGACCAAAACTGAAAAGAACTCATTTTGCTTGACCAGAGCTGACCTGCTCTATTTATTGAGCAAAAGCAAATTTTTGAGATGTTCTAGTTTTCTTAATAACCGACTTGCAAGAAAGGCTACCCATTGATAATAGCTACATTATTAAGCATATAACTTCTCATTTAATGTTTACAAATAGCCTATGAGATAATTATCATTCTTTTATTTTATAAATGAAGAAACTGAGGCTTAGAGATGTTAAACCTCTAACTTGTCTGTAGCCACTCAGCTCTAGGATAAGAGTAACAATACCAATCTACAATCAACCGGTAACTAGGAGCACTGGTTAGATGTTTACCACCACTGCCTCGAGTGCTACAATTAGCCTCTGGGAAAACAACATAGTCAAGTTCAATAGAAGAAGACAAGTGAACACTAAGTACAACATACCTTTAACTGGAACATAATCAACAACAAAAAAATGCAAACAAAATATAACCAGAGTCATTGAAATTAAGAACAATTTAACCATAACCAGAGGGGAGTGTGGAGGGGACAGTGGGGAGAAGGATTTTCAGGAACTACTATAAAAGGCACGTGGACAAAACCAAGGGGAAGGGTGAAACCCAGGGAGGGAGGGAGGCTTGGCTGGGGTCTGGGGGAGGGGTGGGCAGAAAATGCAGACAACTGTAATTGAACAACAATAAAGTAATTTAAAAAAAATTGATTTTAGAGAGACAGAGAGGTAGAGAAACACTGACTTACTGTTCCATTTATTTGTGCATTCACTGGTTGATTGTTGTATGTACCCCTGACCAAGGATCAAACCGACAACTTTGGCGTATTGGGACAATAATCTAACCATCTGAGCTACTTGGCCAGGGCCAAGTACAACACTGTTTTATAAGAACTCTACAAAAGGTTTAAAGGGAACACAAAAGAGAGGAATCGGTAGAAAGACAATGAATTAGTTGACTTCTACAAATAAAGTAATTGTAATAGTCAATGCTACTTTAAAGCACGCCAAAAATTTATTTCCTGGTTTAATATACTTTCTTTTGAAAATATTAATTTATTGCTTTTATTCATGAAAACACATTATAGTATGTTATACTGATCTAATTTCAGAATATATAAAACCCTCTACACACTCATAATGCACATGTATATATATATATACATGTGCATAAACTCTAGATTGTAATATTGAATTATTTGGTTTGGGTGGGAAGGTGTATTTTGAACACAAAATGTTCTTGATCTGAACTGTCCCCATCAGTGGTAAAAATTATAGTAAGAATGAAAGAAATTTACTTTTCTCTGTGACTCTTCTAAAGTAGCAGAAGAGCGTTTTAAGCTTCTCTGGTTTTCTTGAGGAACGTCCTTCAAACAACCTGAAAGAGATCAAAAATAAAGATTCACAAAGAACTAAATCTGTATTACTACTACTGAGTAATAAAAAAAAGTAATTCTTCCACAAGGCAAATCTATAATGATAAAGAAATGGAAAACTATTGGGATTTAAATGGCATCCTGAGAGAACTGAAACCAACTAGAACCAGGCTTCCTAGAAGTTGTTCAAGTCAGATGGCACTCTCTAACAACTATGTTGCTCCAGTCTACCTTCCTCCAGGGAGAAGGCACCAACCATCCGGTCCCCCAAAGTCAATTAAGCCAGTGAGTTAATGCTCGATTATTTTTCCAATGGCAAATAATATTTATAATTCACATATTACTGGGGAGTTAAATGATTAAAAAGTGTTTGAAAAAAATCCACATGATTGTTTGTATTGAGGAAGCAGTGGGGGAAGTAACAACAAGTAGAATAACAAGTGGGTATAACAAGATGTTGAAGGGCTGACTAATCCTTGGTAATTAAACAAATACATTTTGTGCATGGTAACCAAAACAGTGCCTATGCTATGTCATCTAGTTTCCATCAACCAGGACTTGTACTACTTAATTTAGTTGTCTTTGAAATGATTTGGCATTGTTACTGGTAACACATTATGCAATTTATCCTGAGGAAAGAAAAGCAGGGCTTTAGAAGTATATGACCTGAGTAAGTAGTTCACTAAAGATTTCAAACACAAAAGCATGCTTTTAGGCACCACACCTACTTTTCCAAAAGCATTTAAAAATTACAGAGAAATTCTGGATCTATAAATGACAAAGTATTATTCATCTGCTTCTAGTTATATATCCTGGCTTTAAAACCACGAACACTTTAAGTAAAAGTTCACTTCAGTAAATGCCAAAATGGGTAAAATTTTTCATGATTAGAAAAGCAAGTTTATTAACTACGGTAGAGAGGAAAAAGTTATTCCATGAGAAAATCCTATTGAGCAAGTAAAATGAATTAGCAAAAGGGAAGGAAATGCAGATTTCAAATGACCTTGTTTTTCAGTGATCTGAAATTCTATATTCAGGGTCAGTTTCTGAGGAAAAAAATTATATGAATACTTAGTTCCTGAAAAGAATATTAATGTCAGAAAGCATTTTAACCAAGTCACAAATCAAATTTTTAAAAGATTAGTGCCTGTGTAACAAGTTTACTCATCTAAGAAAAATTATTTTAAATGTTTATTATAAATACTTAAAAATTCAGCTGCCTGCCAAAAGAACGGATCTTTGAGAGTATGGTTTTCAGCTTAGTTTCTTCTGTAATATTGACTAGAAGGGCTTATTTAAATCAAAATGATAGTCAAAATGAAGAAGCCACTTGGCAGTTGAATTAAACATCCTGTATGAAATAAGTATGATTTACTAAATAAATATCTTGGGATCCATTGCCAAATCCCTTTCTAGGTTTACTGTTTAGTAGAGGGAAACAGTATTAATATAAAGGCAGCCACCACCTTTTCTTAGAGATGAATTGATATACTTATACAATTCAATTAAGGGGGAAAAGTTTCTCTTCCACAGAATTGTTGCATTGTGAGAAGAAAATGGCTGCTGACCTTAAGAAATATTCCCCCCAATATAAAAAGTATCCCTCAGTTCTACATGTGGTCAGCTGTGTAAAAATCACCCAAAAGTATATATACTTCATAACCATGAGTACAAATTAACCTCGGGAGCCTCTTGGGACTATAGGTTTATTACTATCCAAGCAATATGATTTTCCTGGAGGATTATGTGGCCATTATCACCACCAACTACAAATACGCACCATTGTTTATTTTGCAGGTACAAACCTTAGAGGTACAAATCAAGCAGAATCTCAATGTATTCTGTTTATCCATTGTGCATAAGTTTCAAAGCCTAATTTCAAATCACTATGGAACCAAATATGCTTTCCTGGCTTCCTGATGGAGCAGGGAAGTGTGTGGGGGTGGAGGTATAGAGTAAAGGGGGAGGTGGAGAGAAAGTCTGGGAAGATGAAGCACATTTAAAACTCTTATGCCAATTCTCAGACTTTCCTGATGAAAAATTTTATAGTACTATGTATAGCCACCTGAATTATGCTGGTATGAAAGTAAGTGGAAAATAACATAAAAATACAGGCAAGCAGCATGAGTTAAAGTCACTACAACAGTGATGTATATATTATCCAAGGGACAGCTTTTGGGAGAGAAAAGGAAGGCAAAAGAGCGAGGATGAAACTAGAAAAAGGAGACAGAAAAATAGAGCAGGAAAGATAAAGGGGAAAAGAAAGACAGAAATGGGACTGGAGACAAAGGAAGGTTCTGAAAAACAGAAACTCACACAGAAAGACACAGAGAGAAACACAGAAAGAGAGACAGACTCATGAGACAATTAGACTTCTGATAATAATCAAGCACTATCCATTTCTTTAACTTCTCAAAACCTTGTGTTGTTTTTTTTTTTAATTTAGGTTTTCAGGTTCTGGGTATGTATATTTGAAGGAGTATTTTGAGTCAGCAGGTGTGCATGTAAACATGAACATAAACTAGGCCATAATAACCCCTCTGCATGGAGGCAAGACATTTTGGCCTTTAACTGAATAATTACAGATTATTAAAGAAAGCAAACAGAAAAAGCTAGTCAGGCAACCTTATGTTTGTTTTAAACAAAACTTTTTATTTTCAAGGGAATATGTCATTTAAAGTCGATATTAACTGGTATTTTTCTTTCCATACACATAAAGAGAAACATAATAATATCATTCCCTGAATGACATGTTGATAACATTACCAGAATTAGATTCTAGACACACACCCACCCCCCATGGGATTTCAAGTTAAGAATTAATCCCATTAGTATACAGTAAATCAAACCCAAAGCACTATAACCTACATGTTAAAATGGAAGCAAATGATAATCTCAAACCCAGCCAGAAAGTCATTCTCGGCTTTTCTGTGAAGTACTCTGCCATATGGCCCCAGCAGCATTTTCAATCCAAGGAAGAGGCAGATGTAAGAGCCTCCTGGGCTGACCACTGCCGTAGCCCACAATTAATCTCTGACCATTGGTTTCTAAGCAATCTTAGAAGCATCAATGCTAATCACATTAGAAAGCTTTATATGAATATTTAGGCCCTGAAAGGCAAGCAGGGGAAAAGGTCAAGGGTATTTAACATAACTAAGCAGAGCTGGAAGAACACAACAATAAATTTAAAAAGGAAGACTTATTTAATTTATTGACGTCAGCTTCCCAACACATATTCTGAACCATTTTTCTTATTCAATCAAGTAGCCAGTCATACCTCTTTTGAGCCTAAATACCCACATGTGAGCACGCACACACACATAGCTCCCAATTGCCAGAAACAATAATCATAAATAGCAACTATGCAAAAGAGAAAATACAACATGTTCTATAATCAGCTTACCAAATTGCTCACCAAATTAGGTACTTGGTATTTCATAAGCCACATAGAAAAGGGAATTTTTGGTTGTTTCCCATTTCTGGAGGGTACCCAGAGCATTTTGTTCTTGAGAGGACGCAAGACATAATGAAAGAGCACAGAGTTTAAACAGAAGACAATATTCAAGTCTCAGTTCTGCTGACAAGTTATTTACTCAAACTGAACTGTTAGTATAGAAGCTTCCCCACACTTAGAAACGTCCAGAATCAAAGTGAGCTGTCAATAGACTGTATATCAATGATCATGTATATAATCCTCGTTCCTGTTGTTTGCTAGTTTAGTTTTATTAAAAACACACACTATCTCAATGAGAGGCAAGTGCACATATCCTGCTGTTGGAGAGTCCCTAAAACAACTGTATATACCGCAGGTTTTACCTGCTTTAATTCATTTTCAGTTCTGGTGATCTCCGCCCCCCATCCCCCGCTAAAAAAAATCTGTCAGCCAGGAAGATAAGAGTAGGCCTATATACAGACCTACTGAAACTCTATTTGGTGAAAATACTACTGGGATACTTTGAGTTTAAACCTCTCACGGTCACTTTGGACTGATGAATGGCTGTGGTTCATTTTACAGATCAACAATTATTTCTAAGGAGAGTTCTAATCTCTGACTAGGTATGAGGTAGAAGTATTAATGTGGTTCATTGAAAGGAGGCTGTATAGCAGAATCATTAAGGGATACAGCTTCTAGAGGCTGCTGCGTATACCCTCCTGAATTTGAATCCCAATTACACAAATTAACTTGGTGAAGTACACTGCCCTCTAAGCCTTCGTCTCCTCATCTGAAAAAATGAGAAAAATGCCTTACTTATAAGATTAATACAAGGATTAAATTAAAAATATAGTGATTGGTAAATCACAAGTACTTAGTAAATATTAGATATTATAAAGAGATACTCTCATGCAAAAGAAATTTCAGATAATGCTGAGAAAGCAGAGGTACTTGTGCTGGATAAGGCATTACGTAATAGCCAGCAAAAAAACAAGTCATTTACATAAGATGCTCACATTGTTCTGATCCACATTCCCTTCATGAAGAAAGGTGGCTCAGCCTATTTTCCCACCAAGCCTAACATGCTGACACTCAGAACCAACCAGCTCAGTCTTTAGGATAAATGGCCATGTAAAATCAAAAAGATAATGATGCTGTTTCCAAGAAGTCCCAGTGTTCCTGTCAGAAGTTTAGCTGAAAAATAAACATGCTTTAACATTAAAACATGTTTTGAAATTAATATATATTCTGGTAATTGGTGGCAGAAAATGGAAAGTCATCAAAGCCAAACTTCCCAGGACTTCTTGACTTTATCTGTCAGCCATCCCAAACCTGTGGTCCACCTTATTGTTGAGAGAAAAAGGCGGTCAGGTGTGCAGGTGCCCAGCCCTCAGAGGGTCCTTGTGTTTCTTTTCCATGCTTAATGGGAAAGTCAGGATAAAAGGGAGGTAATGATAGTATGTCCTTGGGGCCATAATCAGGAAGGAATAAACTATCTATTCCAGTTGTTCGAGAAAGGCTCAAAAATATCTGTGGATTCCACTCTCAAAATCAAATTAAAAAAACTGT